GGCTATTTACACGACCAGATATCATGCGAATATAATTCATAAATTCTAAATAAATCGCAGTATTAAATTTAAAAAAAATCATTTCAAAAATATAAAGCCAAACAATAGGATAGTTGAGAGGTCACTGGGGTTCTTCCCGGATCTATGATATCTCCTATTTTTCGCTCCTTTGGATTCCTTGAAATAATTGTTCCTATTTGGGTCATTCCCATTTCCATATGATTTTCTCAATTTTCTCATGTCCAATCTTAGAAACCTAAACTTTGAAATCTGAAAAGTAAAACCACTGATCTTAATCGAGAGTTTTCTTAAGTGACCCCATTTAAGATTTAATTAACTATAAGGGCTTGCCTCTATAGGGAACTTGGAACCCAGGTAAAATAAACTCTATCTAATCTTTATATTTGGTAGGGAAATTGTTGGTCTTTTTATAAAAATATTTCGCATATCAAAACGGATGTCACAAATTTTTTTAGTCTACGAGATTGAGAGCCTACTACAGGTGATATGTTTATTCTTCGGGAAAAGTGTATTACTTGTGGTATCGTGCTTAGTCACCCAAACTACTCAAAATATGAGACTCGTTTGGTTTCACCTATTTTTCAATCAAAATGTTACTTTCAAAAATCATATTCATATCAAAGCTATTTTCATATTTTCCTATATTTTTCAAATCAAAATTAAAACGGCCGACATCACAATGACAGTTATAGAGTTGGACGTGATCGCATTTTCAGTCAGGCCCCCCTGCAGCTTCATCAAGCTACCGAACTACCACCTCAAGGCAAAGAAAGTGGTGAGCAAAATAATTGTTGATGCTACCAAGCCTCCCTTTGTCGCTCCTTTTAGACGCCCCAAATCCCCTGCTACCCTAATAACAAAACTGAGCCCAAGCCTCTCAACCTCAAGGTAGGGCCTCTCCTTCATGTCATGATCCTTTATCATGTGAATCTTGAAGGGGATATGAGACTCTACAAGGAGCTGGGCGAGAGGTTGTGCTTTGGTGATAATGAAGGCATCAAAATCTTCCTCAAGTTCCTCTTGCAACTGCTCGGAGTCAACCTCTTCAGTGATAGCCACGGCCTCCAAAACAAAGAGGCCTATCAATCCCAAATCAACACCATAGAAAATAGAAGTTGAGAAAACATGAAGGAGGATGATGACATCACCATGTCCAAGGTAGTTCTGGACAACCCAATTCACACTGTATGCACATTCTTTGCTCAGATCTACAGCGATCACAATTCGACGATGAGAGCTAAGATTGGGGTTCGTCGTGCTACAGACAAGAATAGCGCGGTGATGATGGTTTGGTCGTTTGTGCTGCGGTAGCTAAAGTAATGGTTGAAGGGAAACGACAATAAAAAAACAATAGAAACCTGATGGGAAATAGCAGGGAAGCCTGTAGTAACTTGCTTTA